AGAATATAGTTTGCAAGAATAACGATTATATTAAAGAGGAAGTGTTATCAATAAGCCGTTACCTAAGTAAAGGCAAAGAGTCACTCCCACGCACTGATACAAGACAAGATTTACTTGAAACAAAAAAGTTGGTGCAAGAGGTTAAAACTTTGATTATCTCGTAATTATATGACTGAATATACTCAAGCATTAAATGAAGTAGCTAAATATCTGTCACCTCCTGTCGGGTTCTCCGATCATGACTCCCCAAAAGAAGATTCCAAAGTAATAATAAGACAAAATAACACAATCATCCAGCTATTAATTCAAGTATTTGATAAGCTAAAAAGTGTCCAAAGCAACAAATAAATTGTGCTATCATCATCTGGAATAGTTGCCTCTACTAGAAATATTAATTCAGAAAAATGGACGTATCTAAAGGCTTCCTTAGAAGAGACAAAACTCTCCAATTAGTAAGGCAAGATTCAAGACCTCTAGCCATGAAGCATAGATTATCATGCAAAGCTGATGATATTGATAGTATTGAAGAAGTTATAGATATACAAAGAGATCTAGAAAGATACCAGAAAGATATCCTAAGAAAAATAAAACCTCAACAAGTATATCACATGGGTATGTTTGAAAGTAAGAGTGGTCTATACAGAATATCTCGAGAAGTAGAATTAAGTGTGTTAACACATCCAGTAGATTTAAGAATTGTAAGCAAAAATATTGAAAATGAGCTAAAATATTGTGGTTATAAATATATTCATCAAGGCATGTATATCATAGGAGTCAAAGGTATGACAAGGAAGAAATTAGGTGCGAAGGTTTTGATAACTTTATTAGACAGAAGATGGGAATCTGTAGACAAAGCAGCATTAGGATTTTTGGAAGGAGACATGAATGAAAATAGATTAATAACCTATATAGCTCCAGACCTAATGATGCCCGTAAAAGAATTTATTGAAAAAATGAGTTTTGGTTTCCAAACTAAAGGTTATGAAGATTTTAAAGGAACAAATTTGCTAGTAAGCATAGAATTTATAGGAAGGCTCACTAATAGAAGTAGCTCCAGATATAGAGTAAATGTGAATGACGTAATTGATAGTATGCAATCAAAAGGTATAAAATTTATGAATCCTCTTAAAATTGGTTCTCAAGAAAGAGCTGGAGAAGAATGGAAGATAGGTGAATTAATAGAGAAAAAAGAATTAAAGCAACCTGAAAACTACATAAGCTATCAAAATTGTGAAGGAAGTAGCAGTATTCGATTTATGAACTATAAAGCTGCATCAATAGAAGACTCTGAATCTTTTATGTCAGAATCAGAAATTAATGATGATAAAAATAAAGGTATATCTGAATGCATGAAAAAGGCTGATTTAGATGATGAAATAATTCATTGGGAAAAGAAGCTAAAGCATATTGAATGGGAATATAGTCATTCTATGACAAAGGATTGGCCTAAAATTAGAGAAAGAGAACTATTTATCATTAGAGAAATTGCAAGGTTAAAGAAACTAAAAAATGATAAAAAGTTTGCCACAAGTAGTTCAACCATGGAAGATAAAATTATAGCATCCGCAGAAAGAAAAGCAAATGCTATTATTCATAAAAATGCTATCATTAATAATAATAATAAAGACAAGAATATTGTTCAAAAAGAAGAAGTCGTTAGTGAAGAAGATCAATGGGATATCAATAATAAGTTATTATTAGAAAGTTATGAGGAGGAGGAAGAATTAATAAAAGAAATGTGGTTAGAAGATGAAAGATATGATGATTCAGAACAAAATAGTGATTTCTACAACTCACTAGATGATGTGACTGCATAATTTAGACAATGCAATGGAAGCCATGGAAGTAGAAAATAGTGGTAAAAGAAGAAGTGGATATGGAGAATCATCTGTAAAAAGAGAAGGAGAGAGAGAAAGACCTACCAGATCAGCTGGACAATGGCCCCCAGAAAAAGATGACTATCAACCTACGTATATCCCTGGACAATATAGATATATGGGTACTAAAAGAAGAGATTTTGAAAAACCAGTGCAATTTCAAAATTATAAGAATGATGGAGCTATATTAAACCTAGCAGCTCATGGTCCAATAGATTGGCCGAATATAATCAGCATATGGAAAGGTTTAATAGTGCAAAAATATATACAAAATCAGTATAATATAGGCACTAAGGTAGAAGATATGTTAACATATCTTGAAACATTTTTAGGAGAATCTTTAAAAGTTCTATGGGAACAATGGGTAGAGTCATACCCTAGTCAATATGAAGAATTAAAAAGGGCAGGAAGTAACCCTAATAACTTTGCGAATGTTATCTCAAATATGATCATAGCAGAAGATCCAGAATTAGGACATACCTCATTACAAAATGAAAGGTTAAGAGAAATAGAAAAATTAACATTAACTAGCTGGAAAGGTATAAAAGAATTTTCCCAGCATTATTTGTATAATGCTACTACTGCTAAACAAGGTTTTAATGTAGGTGTAGTAGAAAGATATTTTAATAAATTGCCTGATCCTCTAGGTTCCATAATATTTGAGGAGTATAAAAAGGAAACAGGAGGAAATGTAGTAAATATATCCCAAGCTATAACATTTGTTTTTAAACAATTAAGGAAGGTGTGTACTAGTATTCAAGCACAAAGATCTATGAAGAAATCAGATTACAATTTTTGCAATAACATTGTCCAAATACCACTAACATATGGAGAAGATAGGCATAGGAAAAACAAATACTCTAAGCCACAAAGGAGAGATAATAGAAATTTTAGAACAAAGAAAAGATATTTCTTAAGAAGGTCAGACAATAGAGCCCCATTCTTGCATAAAAGAAAGTAAGAAGATATAATCCTAAGAAAACATATGATAAAACATGCAAGTGTTTCATATGTAACTCTCCTGATCACCTAAGTAGAAATTCTCCTAATAAAGACCAGAAAAGATACTCTAGCAAATATGAAGAACAAGAGAGAGTATTAATTATAGATAGCGTTAATGAAAATATATTAGTATGTGATGATGAAATAAAAGACGACGAGTCAATATATTCAATTATAGAGACAGATGAACTAGAAAATGAGGCTCCAGAATATGAATCGAGTGAAGATGAAATAGACCTAATAGATGAATTAGCCGGTTTAAAAATTGAAATGATGAACCAAGTAGATTGTGAACATGATTGGATTAGAGGAAAAGGTGATTATAACATAAAATGTGCTTTCTGTATATATTACCCAAGCCAAGATAATAGGTTCACATGTAGCTTGTGTTTAAAACAAGCATGTGCCTCATGTCTAAGAACCAATAATCAAAAGTGGAGACAAGAAATAGAATTAGAACCAGAAGAACGAATATTATCCAGTAGGGTTAGAAATTTAGAAAATAGAATAAATAAGCTAGAAGTAGAACTAGAAACACTTAAAGATGAGTTACAAAATAGTAATAAGAAAGACAATAATGTTGCTGAAATCATGGAAATGAAAGAGCAAATGGTAACAGTAAGGGATAAAAAAGGAGACAAATTAATACAATTGAAAGATGCAATTACTAGTTTTGGAAACAAATATATTGTTCGATTACCGTTCAAAGAAGTGTTAGGAATAAGGATCCCAGTTAAGATTGTTCTAAAGCCAAATATTTCATATTAAATACTGGCACTATTAGACACTGGTTGCACTAAGAATATCATCCATGGTAAATATTTTACGAGGTGTCCCGAAATAGTTGAAACTATAGATGATAATAAAGCTGAAGTATCTACTGATATGTCAGGAATAAAGAAGATCCATAATCAGCTAGCATATAATATTGAAGCTTACATAAATGGCACAAAATATATAATAAATGAAATTATGATAAGAGATTTGTCAGTAATAAATGATGACATGATAATAGGGTTAAGATTTTTACAACAATCTTTACAAACCACAATCATACATGAAGAAGGGGTAACATTTATCCCTTATCAAGATAATGTTCCATACATATCTGAAGTGAGAAAACAAAGAAAGTCCTTGCAAAATGTAGAAATATCTAATTTAGATGATGAATATAGCACAAGTCTGGATCCCCTTGAATTCTGTAAAGACGAAGAACTTAGTGAGACCATAGAAGAATACCATATAGAAAATACATGTATAGAATGCATTGGGTTACAATCATTCTCTCCAAATTCGTATAGAGATATAAAATCTAAAAAGGATATAGATAAGATTGTGCAAAGACTAGAAAGCATACAAATTATTGGAGAAATACCAATGAAACATTGGGATAAGAACTCTATAGTTTGCAAAATAAATATCATAAATCCAGATTATATAATTAAGTTAGGACCAATAGAAGCTACTCCAAAGGATATTGAAGAATTCAAAATGCATATTGAAGAGTTATTAAAGTTAAAAGCTATAAGAGAAAGTAGAAGTCCTCATCGATCTGCTGCTTTTATAGTTAGAAATCATGCTGAAGAAGTTAGAGGAAAATCTAGAATGGTAATTAATTTTAAAAGGCTTAATGATAATATAGTTGATGATGCATATAATATACCTAATAAGCAGGAATGGATTAATAGAATACAAGGAAGTAAATATTTCTCTAAATTCGACTTAAAGGCGGGATTTTGGCAAGTAAAAATGGCTGAAGAATCTATTCCCCGGACAGCATTTACTTGTCCACAAGGCCATTATGAATGGCTAGTAATGCCATTAGGTCTAAAGAATGCACCTGCACTATTTCAAAGAAAAATGCAAAATATATTTAATGAGAATCAAGCATTTATATTGGTATATGTAGATGATTTGTTAGTTTTCTCAAAATCATACAAAGAGCATATAGCCCATCTTGAAGTGTTCTTTCGAAAGGTAGAACAAAATGGCCTCATACTATCCAAAAAGAAGATGGAAATTTGCAAAGAAAAAATAAATTTCCTTGGTCATGAAATAGGAGAAGGAAAAATATATCTACAAGAACATATTGCAAAGAAAATATTAGACTTTCCTGATAATATGAGTGATAAAAAGGTTTTACAACAGTTCTTAGGAATTGTAAACTATGCGAGAAACTACATAGACAACTTAGCAAAGTTAGCAGGACCTTTGTATGCTAAATTAAGGGAAAATGGTCAAAAATACTTCAATTCCGAAGATATAAAATTAGTAAAGGCCATCAAGGAAAAGGTCAAGAATTTAAAACCCCTAGAATTGCCTCTAGAAGACAATTATTTTGTAATTGAGACAGATGCATCTAAGGTAGGATGGGGTGCGATACTAAAACAAAACCCCAATAAATACTCCCCAAAAGCAGATGAAAAAATATGCAGATATGCTTCGGGAAGTTATAAATTAAAGACGGTAAATAATATTGATAGGGAAATCCTTGCAGTTGTAAATGCAATAAATGCGTTTAGGCTATATCTAGGATTTAAAGAATTTACAGTGCAAACATACTGTGAAGCTATATGTCGATATTACAATAAAATTAATAGTAAGAAAAGCTCAAACAGAAGATGGGTCTTATTTGAAGACACCATAGCTGGGAATGGTTACAAAGTTATTTTTTAGCATATTAAGGGGAAGGATAATACCTTACCTGACATATTTTCTCATGCATCAAATTTGCAGAAATGAGGAAAGGATTATTCGCCAACAAGGATGAATATCTCTTCTTTGGAGAAGAAAATAGGCTGAAAATGTTTCAGCCAAATACATTCAATTTCAAGCCAAAACCCCATATCAAGCTTGATGAAGCTCAAAGATGCATATTGGATAATTTCTGGTTCCAATATACTCTCAAGAGAGAGGGAAAAGGATATTTTTTATCAATTCTCAATAGTTTGGCAGAATATTTTAATGCATTAAACAAAAATTTGCCAAAGCCAGAAAAGATTGAAATACCAAAAGGAGAAACAATATATCTTATATCTGATGGAAATAAACCTGGCATATATTTGGAATGGGAAAATATAATGATTGAAAAAATAGATGCAAAAAGGAAAGGACAAGATTTAACATTCAAAAGATATTATAATATAGATGATGCCTTATTCTGGGCAAGAAAGGTATTTGGACCAGATTATTATATTGACCCAAAGGTTAAAGACTATATTCAAATGAAAAGAGGCATACCTGCTTCACCAACTCCCACAAAGGGGGAGGCATCAAGCTCTAAAAATATAAAGAATGAAGAGCCTCCAAAATATAAGACATATCAAGAATGCCTTGTAAAGGGGCTTGACCCTTTAGACAGTGAATACATAGATCAAGAAATGGATAAAATATTTGAAGAATTTTCAAAAATAATAAAGAAAGAATTGAAAGAAGAAATATTAAAAGAATTAAGGCATGAAATGGACGAAAAATTTGAAGAAATAAAGAAAGAATGCGATCAAAAATATGATTTCAGTCTGTTAAACGATGATGATGATCATATGGACATAGCAGGGCACGGGCAGCGACCTGAATAAAGCCCAAATTGCCTATATTGATATTGCTATCAATTATTCGGGCGCGGAGGACTATACCCGACCCGAATATTGATAGAAATCCCAAGAATAGATATTTTAAATATTGATAAGGTATTATCAATCATATGGGCAGGGAAGACCCCCTATAAAAAAAGCAATGTTGAATATTTAAGCAAGTTAAATTAAAAATAAATAAAGCAATGCTGAATATTTAAGCAGCCTTGGCATGTATGTACGCATACACTGGCACATGGATTCTTAAAGGCAGAAGAAGCTCTGAAGGCTAATCGCTTGATGATCTGTATAGCCGAGGAGCAAAGACTGGTACACAGAGGCCAGCCAATTATTCATCGAGAGACAATGCCACGTGAAGAAAGCAAAGTTTCCTGAAGATTGAAGTTTGTCGGCACTCTCTCGCACTTTTCTATATTATTAGAAGGACATGCATGTAACCTAGTAGGACACGCGTGCATACTATTGTGTACTTTTCTATATTATTAGAAGGACACGCATGTACCCTAGAAGGACACGCGTGCATGCTATCATGTAAAATAAGTGAAGGAAGGCTCCCGAAGGCCTCCCTCGCGGCTATAAAAGGAGACGGTGGGCTCAAGAACACAGCAGAAGACGGAAGAGCGTGAAGCACTCAGAGCATCAAGACTCTCCACCAGAGTAGCATTTCCTTCGTAGTTTAGCCACCACCACTTCTAGTAGAATAGCCAAGAAGGCGCTTCGATCGCCAAGAGTTTGAAGGTAATTTCCTAGTTGAGTGTAATCCCTTCGGGGCCTCCTGAAAGGGAAAACCATATGTAAATTATGTTGTGGAAATGATGTAGTTTCTTGGTTCACTTGGTATTTTTATTATGAATTTATGGGACGAGTTCTTATGCTAGGGATCCTATAGGAGAAACCTCTGCGTGTGTAGTTCTCTGTGTAGTCCAGAGTGGCGTTTGAATGAGAACCTTGTGGCCGTAGAGAAGTGTTCCCTTCGGGTGGAACTGCCTGGGAAGACGATAGGAATTTACCCCATAAATTTGCAATTAAAACTGCTAAGTGAACGTAATTAGCTACATCTGATACAACATAATGATAAATATGGTGAGTACTGAGTAGGATTTTACACCTCTGCGCACACCATCGGACTTGTTGGCCTCGCAAGCCCAAAATAGATCCTGCAACAAATACATAATCAAGTTAGAACGTGAAGGTAATCATATTGAATTAAATATTGCTGTGAATAGTGAAATACTATTCCAAATAGTGTATTCAATAGTGGAGCACTATTGTGAATAGTGCCCTACCTAGTGAATAGTAAATACTATTCAAGATAAAAAGCATACCTGTCTACCACCTTCACCTAATCCCAAATCAACCTAATCACATATTAAGCTAAATAAGTTGTATTAATTTTATAATAAATTAATTTATATATATATAACTATAATTTATTTTGCTTCCTCTTGGTTTCCTGACATCACGGTCCCACACCATTGTCATCCTATGTAGTACTCCCTCCTTTTTGGTTTATAGGGCTTATCTCAAAATTTTAGTTTTTCCATTTTATAAGGCTCAATTTGGTTGTTCCCCATCACTTGTTCAGACTTTAAGGTGCATTAAATCATTGCATGCAACTATTAAGAGAAAACTGACCAATGCATGCACTTTATGCATGCATGCATTGCAATTAATGCATTCGTAAACATAATTTTTTGAGGAAAACAAGAGCATTAATTGGGTGCTTTTGCAAACTACAAAAAATATTCCACCACTCATCATCTACCTTGGTTGGTGAGATTTTTGAGTTGAGCCTTATAAACCGAAAAGGAGGGAGTAGTAAATAAACAAGAGAATTGCACAAGAAGCGGCCGACAACTGGGACCAAGCAGGTCGAGCAGTATTTGTGTTTTTGAGGTGTGAGCACTACAGAATTTTTCGATGTTTAGCCCAGATATTAATTTTTCTCCTCTGAACAACAACGAAAACATCGCTGCAGGTATTAACTGGGCGGGATGTGGCCCGTCTAGCCCAGGCCAGATATCCAGTCCAGATATTAATTTTTTTCAAGCTGAAAATGACTAGCCCAGCTATACTTTTTTTAGGAATACCCAGGCAAGGTCAAGTTGTTATTCTCCGCCCCCCTGGGCTGCAAATCTTTCCTAGGAGGGATGCATTAGGCTTAACAAGAAAATGGGCTTTAAGAAATAATAAATGGGATGTAATTATAAAAACTGGGCACTAACTATAAAAAATGCACCAAACACGTGATTACTTTATAAAATATTATTTTTGATATTGAAAATTTTAATTTCATTAATTGTTGCGAGCGCAATGTTTCATTGGATTTTTACGTAATATAAATTTATATTGAAATTGTATTTAATATGACTAGAAATTTCGGAATAAAAATATTTCAGATCCCATCAAAATACGAGAAATTTTATTGAATTCTATTTTGAACGGTTGGTTGAAATGGGCTGTACTTTTAACAAACTGTAAATGGGTTGTAGTAAATTCCATTAGAATTCAAAAATGGGCTACACATTCTTACAAATCTCAAATGGGCTATAAGTTCTCTGCCACACACTTCTGGCCTTACTAAGTTGACGCGTCCCCTAAAAAACAGAGTTGACGCGTATGCAAGGCTTTGTCAACTTATAGTCAACACACGATTCCAGTAGCAGTGGTCCTTGGATGTCCATCCAACGGATGCCGTGCTTCTTCTTCAATCTCGGATATTTTAGCTTCACCCGCCCAAAAAATGATTCCTCCCCCTGACATCTGGGGCGCATCGTTTCGGAAGCTGACCTGTGGGCCTACTAAGTTGATGTACCAAGGGCTTTGTCAACTTAGTCAATATAAACGATTCTAGCTGCAGTGATTGTACGATGTCCATCCAACGACTGTCATGCTTCTTCAACCTCTGGTCTTCTTTTGCTCCAGCCGCCCAAAGCAGCGCCGGTCGTGTCGCCTGCTCCTGCCTCTCATGGCCGGTTGTGCTGCCGCGAAGGCCTCACCGACCCCTACTACTCCCACCGCTGGCCAGGCCATCCCTCCACTCACCCACACCCCCTGTTATTCTGCGGCGACGGTAGCGCAGCCAAACCAGTAAACCCTCGTACTCCTCTCCGTGTGTGCATCCACTGTCGCGTCTTCCCCGGCTCCGCATCGTCCCCTTCCTAGGCCTCGCCGTCGTCCACCGCCCTGGTGCTCTCGGTGCGGCATGGTCAACGTGGTCAAGGAATGACTTCCATGGGACGTGGACTGTATGTGGAGAGGCTGACAACTGGGTCCACGGCAGCCGCAAGGAAGTGCCTCCTTATTATGCACAAAATAATTATTCCTCCACCTGACAGCGGGGACCCACCGGACGGGCCATCGTATTTCACGAAAAAAGGATTCGCCCCCTGACTGCTGGGACCCACGAGCTACATCTTCGCACGCAAGGAAGTGCGTCCGGGAAAAAAATGATTCGCCCCCCTGACTGCTGGGACCCACCAGCTACATCTTCGCACGCAAGGAAGTGCGTCCGAAAAAAACGATTCGCCCCCCGACTGCTGGGATCCACTAGCTACATCTTCGAACGCAAGGAAGTGCGTCCAGACAAAAAAACGATTCGCCCCCCTGACTGCTGGGACCCAGCAGCTACACCTTCGCACGCAAGAAAGTGCGTCCGGGGAAAAAAACAAAACGATTCGCCCCCCTGACTGCTGGGACCCACCAGCTACATCTTCGTAGGCAAGGAAGTGACTGGCAGTCGGGACCCACCTGGTCGAAGCATACATAGCGTTGTCATTCTAGTCGCAAACGTGTACGTACATACTGGTCAATGTAGAGGCACGCACGTGTCGTAGTAGAGGCGTGCACATGTCGTAGTAGAGGCGCGCACGTAGCATGTACACGTACGTACAACGGCCAGGGTGCAGGAAAGAAAATACGGCCACGTATGTGTACATACGGGCGGGGTCTCGAACGCCTACTCGCGCATACGTACGGCCAGGGCTCGTGTACATGGCTGGGTCGGAATGGAGAAACAGCGTCGTCGTCGTGTTCATGGGGAGGCAACGGAATGCGTCGTGTTCATGGGGAGGCAACGGAATGCATCGTGTTCATGGGGAGGCAACGGAATGCGTCGTGTTCATCGGGAGGCAACGGAATGCGTGGGAGCCAACCGGCTGGGTCGGAATGGAATGTGTGGTCGTGTTCATAGGGAGGGCTTGGACGGAACAGGCGATGGAAACGAGGCCTGGCGTACCGCAGAACGGAGGAAACGGACCTCCTACGGTCGAAACGGGGGTCCTGTTGATCGGGAGGGGTGTGGCG